ACTCGAAACGGGTCCGCGACCCACCAGTTGAGAACCACTGGGCTAGACCATAAGTGGAAACTTGTTATAACTGTAAATCTATAAAAGATGAAGGAGGTCAAAACTGGGATGAGGTTATGTAAAAACAAATTGTGGTTAAGGCATTGGTAGGGCTTGCAAAGATCTTGGTCAAGATGTTAAGCAAAGAACAATCATCAACTGCCAATGTTCATATAATAAATAAGCACCATCCAATCCTACAAGCCCTTTCTTCCTTCCTCATTTAATATAAGCCACATTAGTTTTTCCTGTTGAGTCTTATGGTCTTATGGTCAACTGTGTGAAATGGTCCAATATGGATGTCAATGTAAGGATGCAGGGCTGGAAAATGGCATTGCATTAATACCTCAAACTTACACAATGATCAAGGCTTGTGACGCCTTACTTATTCTAAAGTTGAACATGTTCATCACCTTGTTGGTATTTAACATGTGTTTTCAATGTGTCACAATTCCAAGGTATCTGCCATATTCACTCTAGTCCAACGTTTTTTTTAAAGATGGCAACAAAAGGTGCTGATTAAATGCAATTTAACTCAAAGTCATGTTTAGGTCACGGTTTCACTCGCATGACAGCACACATTTTCAGAGCATGGTATGTTGGGAGGAGCAAAAAACAGGCCTGCAACCAATCCTACCTCCTCTGCCACAGATTAGAGGAAAAGAGATTTAAAAAAGACTTTGAAATGAGTTGGACGGACATAAGGCTGATTAAGGTGAACTCAATCCTTCGACCTGTTTAATTCCATGGCACGCTTTTTCTACCGCCATTTGACAAATGAGTAAGGCTTCAAGTAGGTAAACAACCACACACACACACACACACACACACACACACACACACACACACACACACACACACACACACACACACACACACACACACACACACACACACACACACACACACACACACACACACCCTACATAAGTACAGGCTGTATGTTTTTTGGGGCAGTGAATGTCAGGGTTAGGGGAAAAATAACATTTGATTTGGGGAGGGATTAGACGGCGATGGGCTTGTCAGCAACTTGATGAAGGAAGCCCTTTAACGCTGTAACGCAGTTTGCTTAAACTCTAGTTGTTTTCCAATTATTATTATTTTGATTAACTCTGTATTTAAGGTCAGTTTTTTCTGTTTGGTTGTTTTCATTGTATATGTAAGATGTGGGAGTTAGGGAGGTAACAACTGACTTTACGTTGGAGCAGAGGTTCAGCTAACATTTAAATGACTGACAAAACGTGAGTACTGGGTTAACTTTCCAATAAAGATGACGTTGAAATATCTTTTTCTTAAATAGGAGCAAGGTTAACCTGTTTTTATAGAATTTTTGTTTTCAAACAGCTGATTGCTCCTGCCCTCTGTGGCTGAAACTAATTTACGAAGCAGCAAGTGAGGGGAAGCAGACCAAAGTTTTGTATTTTCGTTTTCTTATTTCACTTTTAGAGTATGTCGTTTTTTCTTTTTATTCACCACAAGGCAATGATCGGAAGAACTTCAGATAGGGCAGGTTTGATTTATTTAGTTTAATTTGTTGGGTCACCTATAATTGTCCCATGGGTTGAATTGAACAGCAGACCTCCAACAACTTTGTTTAAGAATCACAATTGCAGCAGAAACGAACTACTGGCCACTAACATTGTATCAATATATATATTGATCTTAGCAGTCTGTTTTGATTTTTCACAATAAAGTTTACAAAAACGATTGTTTGTTTACGGTTTGTTTGTGACACAAAAAAATCTCAGTGTGTAGCTATGGTGTACAAAGCATGGACATGTATTTTATATATCTGAATCAGGGCTGCAATTATTAACTTCATTATCAATTCATCTTTTTTATCAAGTCCAAAAAAAATCAGTTTACTGTAATAATGGAACAGAGAAACTACAAATCCTTTACCAATTCTACTGATTTAAACAATCTCAATTACTAAAACATTTGGCACTTTTCTGTTTAATGATATCGATGAAGTATTTGTTTCAGTACTTCGGTTAAACGGTTGAATGTCTTTCTTCATTTAAGTTGTGGAAGAATTTTAATATTGCCTTTGCTGAGAGCCCAATAACATTTTAAATATGTCAAAGTTGCATTTAATCTTATTTGATCAGTCCCTAAGTTTATTATTTTCCACTCTAATTGGCTTTATAAAGACAACTTAGTAAATAGTGGCTTTCCATAGGGTTAATATTGCAACACCCTGTTATATCTGTCCTTGTGTGACCTAGCTTTTACTGCTCTTTCTGAATTAGTAAGTGGGCCAGGGAGGCTTGAGTGTACTGTACCTAACTAAGGAAGAGGGGAGGAGGGGGTGAATACAGTTCACTCAAACCAACAAAGACCCATCATGTTGTATTACAAACAGGATCTCTTTACAACTTGGCATGTTCATTTATGATTGAGGGGGGGCCTAGGCAAATGCCACCTTGCTTTTTACGTGGCATCCTTTCTTCTATTGGTATAGGCAGTGGTAGAAGAAGTACTTAAAAAATGTTCTAGAGTAAAATGAACTACTTTTAATAAAATGTTTGAATACCACATTTAAAGTCACGCATTCATTTGGTTACTTAAAGTGTAAAAGAAAGAAAGAATGATCAACACACTACTTACATTTATTACTCTGTTCAATTTACAATAAAAATAATTCATACAGGTTAATTAAGTAATGGCCGTCCATCTTCCTCTGAACAGGAAGTAGGTGGTACAGTTAAACTTTTGGGCCTTTTACGGATTACAATGAGTTGAATAGAAACATAATAAAAAATATTTTACATCTAAACATATTTATAAATACACTGCTGTTCCTGGCCCTTTTAGTTGGGGGCCGAAGCAGTTCTGCCTTGTCTAATTTTAAAGTATGCAGCTGCCTGTTCTTAAACAACAGTCACTGTCAAGAAAAAATCAATCATTGTCACATAAGCATCTTGCTTCTTTTATCACGGCCACTAATAAATTAAGCTTATTTGATCGAGTGTGTCAATGGATAGGACCAGTGGTGTAAGAAGAACTGAAAAGTAACACTCCTGTTTAAAAATACTCTGTTACAAGTTCAACGTACTGATTGTGCGTAAGGTCCCATTAGAATCATATTTATGAATTACTTTTATGCATTAATGTATTCATCACTGCTATTAAAGGTGAAGCTAATTTTAATTACTTCATATACTGCTGCTGGGAATCTTTTCAGTTTATTTACATTTTAGTTTTAGCTAATAATCTGGATCCCTAAAGTAACTAGTAATTCGTTTTGTCAATTAAATATAGTGGAATAAAAAGAACAATATTCGCTGCCAAAATGTAGTTGAGTAGATGTACAAAGTAGCATAAAATAAAAATACTCAAATAATCAGGATTCCCTTTTTCAGAATCAGAATTCCTTTATTAGTCCCACAAAGGGGAAATGTGTTGGCAAAGTATAAATAGTAACACTTTTGTATAAAAAGGCATGCACAAAGTATTTAAAAATAAATTCAATTTACAAAAGTACACATAGTAGTTGATACTAAGTAGCAGCAGCAGTATTAAAATACAAATAAGTGTAGCACTGTAAAGTGGAGTGTGGTATAACAGTCATTAGTCAAATGATTGTGTACAAGTACTCCACAATCGTACTTCAGTACAACACTTGAGTAAATGTATTTCACTTGATTACAATACTGAAAAGGACTCATAGGAGGACGTAAGGGCCCCTTTTTTAACTTGCAAATGACACGTTTCCCAGTGAGGCCCTGGCCCTTTAAGAGCCAGCTCTTCAGCAGCGGCGAGAGCAGAAAGCTGAGCCTGAGACTGCAGCACATCCTCAGCCCACCTGACAGCCAGCACCGAACACCGGACAGCCAGCACCGGACAGCCTCCCGGTTCACACCGATAATCACAGACCGCGTCCTGGTCAGGAATGGGGGGCACCTAGCCCGCTGGCTGAATAACTAGATTCCCCTCGAAGCGGTAAAGGCTTACGGAGCACCAGAAAGATGGTTTCCTGGATGATTTCGAGGATGGTTGTGTGAGTACGGGCTTCATCTGCTGTTGTGCTTTAACGTAAGCAGCGGTTCCTCCATCCATCAGCTGTCTGAGGCTCAACGCCGCGCCAACAAGCTAGCATATGTTGTCTGTCCCTATAGAGTTACATTTCAGTAATATAGAAAATACTGTGGGGTAAAGTGTTAGTTATACACAGAGCTAAGCTGTATCTATACTAACCTATATAACCGTCGCTCTGTTTACAGTGATGCAGTGCAATGTGCATCCAGCCAATGCTAGCCTCCGGTAGCTAACGTCTGCTGGCTAACCACCTGACACATAATGTGTTGGCAAGGAAAGAAGCTGCTGGCTGCCCACATTATTCAAGTGGAACCTGCTTAATATGCTAGCCTCGCTGCAGACAAGCAAACAGCTTTTAGAAAACACCACAGCCTAAATATTGCTGGGTTGTAGATCACCAATGTGTGTATAATGTGAGGCTAAGCCCAGCAGCCCAGTCATGGATGTCAGTCTGTATATCCTTCCTTCCATCCAGCCATCCACGATTTTACCTTTTTATTAAGAGCCAGAAATATATGTATTTGTTCCATTATTACCACATGTTAGAGTGACTTTACAAATTCTGTGATCTGTGGAGTAGTACCAGCAGTGTAGGCCTAGACTTCCACCTGTACACACTACATCCACACAGTGTGGATGACTCAACTAAAGCTAGCAGCTGATCTCTTATGCAGACATTTTTTCCTGCATTTAGTGTCGTCTTATATCATGTGTTTGAATTTGCAATCAGGATATTGTGTTGTCTGATCACTCTGCCTCCACCAGATGCATTACACCTTCAATGTATTGTAGATTTAACCAGGGTGTCTTAAAGCTTGTCAGTGTAACCCCCAGACGATGGTGTCTTTGAAAGGCTCAGGTGTAGATGTAACTGATTACAAATATTCTGCTTATCTGGGTTACATAAAGAGAGGATAACAATGGCAAAAATATATTTGTAGTGTATTTCAGCTGGCTCTTCTACTTTACTACACCACAGAAAGTCGTGTCGGGGGGAGACAATGTGAACAGATTTGCATATTATTGGCTGTTGCACATATAACACAAGATCAATAATGTGTCTGCTTTAAACATATAGCTTCCTCCTTGTTTTCTTAAAAGGGTAATCATGCAGAGAAAGGATTTGTTCTTAACTTAAAAACCTGAAAGCACCTAAATTACTTGCGCTCAATATCTCTAATTTCGAGTCTTAGCCAGAGACTCCTCATCTTTGCTCTCTGCTTTAAACATATAGCTTCCTCCTTGTTTTCTTCTTAAAAGGGTAATCATGCAGAGAAAGGATTAATGTAGTACAAAAAAACCTGAAGGCAGCTAAATAACTTACTTATGCTCAATATCTCTGATGTTGGAGTCTTAGCAAGAGGACAGGATGCTGAGGTGAACCTGAGATGGGGCGCAGGGCATCTGCTGAGGGAGTCTCCGGCCTAGAGGCCCGCTCCAAGTCGCCTCAGTTTACTGTACAAAGCTGTGAGGCGCTGCACACATGACTGAGCAGCTCAGATTAGGGCTGCACGATATATCGTGTCGTGACGATAATCGCGATATGCGCATGCGCATATCTTGCGATATTAAGTAGGCAAATTAACTCAAACACGTCATGTTACAATTATTTTGCTGCTTGCTACAAAAGGAAAACTTGCGCGGCTCTCATGTCAGGGGTACTTGAGTGAGTGACATGCAGGCTCTGCATGCACAGCAAATCTCCAAAGCAAACGGACCCGGTGATTAAAGGTAAAAACACTGAATAAAGTAGTTTCATGTGTTTCTCCAGGGCAGTTTGGCGCTGCTAACCGAGCTAGCCCAGCTTGTTGCTCTGATAACTTAAGATCCAGCCGTCCGTGACTAAAACCCTTCATCCGGTTAAATATAGTAGTTAAAAAAATACCAATTTAATAGCATTAAAGTTCAAGAAAGGATGGTTTGCGGAAAAAAAACAACGGTATTTCTTCAATTCCTGTTTGTTTTCATATCACGGGGGGGGGGGGGGGGGGAATCGCAATGTCAGTTTTTTACAATATCGTGCAGCCCTAGCTCAGATACGCCGACAGAACCTATTTAAATGCTAAGAAAATCACTGGATATGCAGCTGGGAGCACAAGCCTCATTGTAAAAATGAGAAACGTTTAATTTTGGTTCAGATAAAGTATCATTGGTCAAAATCAGTAGTTTACGTACACACACAGACAAACTAGTGACTTTCTGGACTCTATTGTCCCTGTTAGCCCTTCACTCAGCATTTACTGTAGCATCCCGTCTCATCAGCACAAATCACCAGTGGTACAGGACGTGACCAAATGCACATCAAAGGCTCTGTGTGTGCATAGTGTCCCTATCTGCCCATGGACCAACACATGGTGACCCACCCCTGGTTCACTTTTGTTTGTTTTTCCAGTTTGTCTTGCTGCAGTCTTCCGGACTACATGATATGATATATATTTTTTTTACCAATAATCTGACGTGTGTTTTGACAAGCCACTGCCCATCAACTCTTTACTGTGACAACATCAGAGCCATCTTAGCTAACCTGCTTTTAAGCAGGAACACATTTCTTAGGTGTCAACACCCAGAGGCCATGTTGTCAAGCTGAATCCCCCTCCTCTGTCTGACCCACACTTCTCTGCTTTTTGCAGCCTTGCCTTTGGGACACTTTACCCTGCATATTCATCATACAAGGCTGTCAAAACGAAGAACGTGAAGGAATATGTGAGTATTACCTCTGGTTACAAAATCACAGCAGAATGCTTTTGAGCCCTGTCTGCTCTGTTTGAACTTTTAAGATATGAAGCCCCAGGCTGCAGTTCGATATTTATTAGATAGTGTTTTCAAGTTTGAAATGCACGTTGCAGAAAGTAATGTAATGTAATACAAAGCCCACGGAGAAAATGTAGAACAGGCACACACTTGCCATAGTTTAAAAGGAGGACACATATTAATTATTTGGTGTATTTGATGTTAGCAGCACTGCCCTTTCTGTCTCTTTGAGCCCTATCACAAAATAATTCGCTAACCAAAATAGAGGACATTTATTTTATGTTTGAGAAACACAAAAGTCAGGGAAGTGTCAGGGAAGTGTTTTGCCTAAGACACCCAGAGCTTGTCAAGTGCATGAAACCACCCCCTTGATGCCAAAATAATTTGCAGTACAAATGTACACTCTTATTTGTCATGATGTCCTAAAACGGCAGCATGTTTACTATTAATAATAAAAAAACTCGAGCACCATCCATTAACACCAAGCCGATAGAAAGTTTGGGATTTGACAGCATGTTAAATAAAATGTAGAGAGAGTACCTTAACATAGCACAATCAAGTGGTTATGATGTAATGATGGAATAACCAGTGTTGCCAGTGGATACCAGGATGAAAAGCATTCGTTTTTCTTTTTTATAAATGGGGTCATTTATGCTTACCTCATCACTGCGAGGGGGGAGGAGGAGGAGGGTCTCCTCCTGGCAGTTTACCATGGCAACCCCCCCCCCCCTCCTTCTCCCCAATGGCTGCTCTAGCTGACGGCCAAAGAAGGAGCACATGAGGGATGGAGGAGGGAGGACGCCATTTTTAGAATGGATGTTTTTATTCCCCTCCCCCTTGTTTGGCTTGTTTCTAATGAGTCGCATGCTTTATCATTATATTTATTTACAGGTCTGCGTGCATGTTGCCTGTAAATCCCCTTAAACATACCCTAACCGTTTGTTTAACATTTAATACATCAAGATGATTTGATTATTGATAACTCAGTGCCACTAAATCTAAGGCGTTTGATATTGTTTCCTATTAAGCAAGTTGGTCTTTCATTTAGTTTGGACAATGACCTCCATTTCCCTTTTGTCTCCGGGACCTTATCCATGCATACTGATGTGATCTGACTGGACTGAAGCATGTGTTGCACTTCTGCATTGTCACGTCTGTTTAGTCCACATGTCTCAGCATGTGCACACTGGATGCTGTAGGTTTTCATGTGCTATTTTTACGATGTTCTCTCATCATCTCTCCGTGTGTGTGTGTGTGTGTGTGTGTGTGTGTGTGTGTTTCCAGGTGAAGTGGATGATGTACTGGATAGTGTTTGCATTGTTCACTACAGCAGAGACGGCCACAGATCTGCTCCTGTCATGGTGGGTCAGGGGCTGCTCATGATCACGCCTTGTGCCAAAATAGCTTGTAATAAATACTCTAAAATAATAATTCATCTATGTAGCTTGTGTCCTTGATATGTGTCCTTGATACGTGTCCTTGATACGTGTATTACAATGACTCTTTTTAATGATGCATTCTGCCTTTTCATACATCAGATCATTGTTACCATTTCCAATTGTATCTCTTTATAGCTCAGGTGTCTATACACTTTTCTTTCAAGGTTTTTCTTTTTCTTTGTGCTAATGGCATAACTCTTGTTTCATTACCCAGGTTTCCATTTTACTTTGAGCTAAAGATTGCCTTTGTGATCTGGCTCCTCTCCCCATACACTAAAGGCTCCAGTGTGCTCTACCGCAAATTTGTTCACCCAACGCTGTCCAACAAAGAGAAGGTTGGACCTTTTTAAACTTTTAGGTTTTTCTCACAAATGATACTGGTATCTCATATTTGTTTTGATTGTCATTTTCTTCTTTGTACCAATACATTGTGTTTTCCCCCCTTTATCTGTTGTCCTGTGCTGTAGGAGATCGATGAGTACATAGCGCAGACCAAAGCCCGGAGTTATGACACCATGATGAAGTTTGGAAAGAGGGGTCTCAACCTCGCTGCTAATGCTGCTGTCACCGCGGCCAGCAAGGTGAGTGGTCTGCTGTGATCATTTGGAAAAATCAATTGTTACAAGTGTAATTACAAATATTTCCTTTTCACTATTATTGATGTTTATTTGTTGATTTCTCTATTAAGTGGCAACAAAAATATTCCCGAATCCAGGGTAAAGTCTTCAAATGTATCTTTTTTTTGTAATAGTTTTTGATTTGACTAATTATTGTAGCGCTAGATAATACAGTTCAGTGTTTCATGATCATTCCAGTGTTAAAAAAACTTGAAATGGTCACATAAAGTTGTGTACAGTACAAGATCAATGTTGTGAATTCAACCAAGTTTAAACTATGGTTTCCACCCCATGTGGTCACATGTGCTGTGACCTAAACATCTCTTAATGTATTTATTTTTAGAGAACTGAAGTTGTATCTTCCTTAGCTTGGGAAGACTACAGTACCAGGATGCGCTATCATCATGAATGTGTCTTGGGTTAAACTAGACGCCATGATTTAACAACTTTTTTTTAAATCCAGGAAAATCATTATCCTGACTTTTGCCAGAAATGTAGTTCTGACATTCAGCTCTCCAACCACTTTCAGTGCCGTACATGCACCCCCTGCGTCGCTGTGTCTAGTGAACAGCTCAGGTCATTGCCAGATGTTTTCATGGAAATGTCTTTCCCCATGTCAAGGGTATTTTTTAAATAGTTGGTTTTGTTTAATTTGAGTCGGACAGAATTTGATATTTCCATGCTTTGACATATCTGAGTGTTTGATTTGCTGCGATGCCCAGGGGCAGGGCGTGCTGTCGGACAAGCTGCGGAGCTTCAGCATGCAGGACCTGACTCTCATCAACGCTGAGGATGAGCTGTCCCTGCACACTACGGAGACCCGCAAGAGACGGGACACCATGGACGACATGAGCTCGGGGGCCAGCACGATTAGCTCAGGGGCAAGCACGATGAGCTCGGGGGCCAGCACGCTGCCCCGGGCCAAGAGCACTTCTGCACGGCAGAGTAAGGCAACACACTCAACCCACACAGCCTCATTAGTGCGCAGAAACACAGGCATACACATCTGCATACATCTATGCATCCTGTGTGTCATGTTTTCTGATTTGGCTGGAGCGTTACCCATAAGGCCTCTTTCGTTTAAATCTCATCAGAGCAGGACTGGGGCAAAGTGGAGTCATGTGATTTAAGGCACTGCAGGATCGAAGGGGAGATGTGGAGTGGGGCGGGGGGGGTGAAAGCATGTGATTACAGTGGGAGGACTCTTTGTGACTGCTCTGCCGGCTGGCTGGCTGTGTGGGCCTGACGGGCTGTGGACTGAATACTGAGCGACACACAGAGGCATAGAAACAATGATCCAAGTGGCACATTGTAGTTTGTACTTCTAAAGAAAGCGTGTTGAGCAACTTCAAAACCCAGTGTAATCTTCAGGATGATTTGTACATGGATGTCTCTTTTCCGAACAATACATTATATTTCGAAGGTCCTCTTACTGATTTTTCAAAGCTTTCAATCACCTTTCAGTTATTTAATGAATTCTTTTTTGAATAATAACTACTGTATATAGTATGCTCCTGTAGCCGCCATACTATTACCAAGCACATTATTTAATTTTTTTCTAAAGGATTTTTCAGTCATAAAAAGAACACATTTGTAAATAGAAGTGGAGTTCTACTTTTTTAAAATTTTATAGTAAATTGAAAATCTTTGGATTTTGCATTGGTCAAAGCAAGCAGTTTAGGCAATGTGTTGCCGCAGACTGTGACCAAGGCACTCTAAAAAGCACTTTTGTGAATGCATTAAAATTGATGCACTTCTGAATACCCCTTAATTTATTTATTTTAGGGCAATAAAGAAAAAAATCAAATATTACTATATTTTTTGCCAAATACCTCCAAATATCCAAGTTGCACCTATATAAATATATATAATTCAGGAAAATAAGATAATTTAGCTATTATGCAGCCTCTAAAACCAGAAAAAAAGTGGTGTTATACCGTATAGCCAGCATCCAACTTTAAACCTGGTGGAAACTACCGTTTTTAAAAAAAAATGTGGCCATTGGGTGTCTGTCCAATCCTGCAGCCCGCTCCTTGGCATCTGTGTCCCTTGCCGACGATGCGTCATCCCAACACGGCTCCGACCAATCAGACACGCGGACTGAACACTCTGATGAAGTGGATGAAGCAGTAGACAAAGCCCCCAAACGCACTACCAGTGTCAAGACAACCAAGAAACCTGCTGCTAAGACGGAGGTAAGGCCCACACGCACACAACACACCACACACACACACACCACACACGCACAAATGTACACACACGCACGCACGCGCGCGTACACGCACGCGTTTGTACACGCACGCGTTTGTACACGCAAACACGCACGCACGCGCGCGTGTTTGCGTGTACAAACACAGCAAAATGGGCCTAGAGACAGCTGATTTAAAATCCTAGTTTTAGCAAGTTTGCTTTTAACGATATTGGCAGCTGTCATTTCCTCTGGAGAACAAAGGCCGTTTCCAGGTTTTAAATCTCTTAAATCCTACAGTTGGCTATAAAGTTTGAACACAATATATTTGGACCAAATTACAAGTTTTAAAAGGTATCCATACTTATTTTGCCGTTCCGTATATCAACAATTTTCCAAAACAAGACAAAGCTTTCATAGATCATTTTGGTTGTTTATTGTTCAAATATTGCAGTAATGCAAGATACAGATAAAAAAGGCACTCTACTGTAAAGTTCCGATAATTACATTTGATAGAATCTTTTATTAGACCTCATCTGCATGTTAAATGTCCAGCTGTTTTGATAAAAGTGTATATTCTCAAGTGGAAAGGGGTGACATTACACTTTTGTCCTACAAATGGTTGCTCTGTTTCCCATTCACTTCAGTCAGGGTTATTTTCAGACCAGACAATACAATGTGTGATTTCTAAAACCCTTTGTCTCACCCAACTTAGGTTGAACCGTTTGAGCTGCTATCCATTTTTATATTGAATAGTTGTGTCTCTTTCTTTTCCTTTTGTAGTTGTTAAATCAACTGTGTTAATTTGACCTGTTCCTCCTCTCTCTCTCTCTCTCAAAGACTCAAACTAAGACAGTGAAGAAGCCAGTGAAGAAAAAGACCACGACTAACAATGCAGAGACGCCGCCATGAGGCCTGATCCATCCAGCGGCCGACTCTCTCTCCAACGCATATACACTGTATATATATCAAGCACTGAAAATGTGTCACTCTTGCAGTTTTTAGAGCAAAGTGCAGGTACACTGTCTGTGGGCACCCTTGGGTTGGGAGCAGTTCTTTAACATTGGCTCGGTTGTTGCACATTTTTTCCTCACGCTTTGCTTACTGTGAGCTCATCCCAGATTCAACAGGCGGCCATTTTCTTTAGATAAGTTTTTAGTCCGATAATGTTTAGGCATACATTTAATTAATGCTACTTTTTTCTTTTACCCCTACACACATCTGTCTGTCCCTACAGAGCGTTAGCTGTCCATGTTGCAGTTTTCCAGTCTCATTGATTCACCTCCTGTTGCTCTCATTGTGGCATTCTCAATAGAGGCTGATTTTAGGTGAAGTAACTCCAGTACATGCTACATTCTTTCTCCTTCCTCACTACAATTGGCCCCATTTTGTTTCTTCTGTTTCCTGAATGGTTCTTAAAAAGAACTCTCTGGGTGCTTTCAAGTCTGAGTCCTCATCTGCACTTGACCATGATAGAAATCCTGAGTTGTTGTTTTTTTGGTGATCACCAGTTGGCTTTAAGTTTACTGTGCCCGAGTTTTTTTTCTTTTTAACTGAGGGGAAAGAAGTTGGTTGAAACGTCATTGCTGTTTCACACGTAAAGATCGCCACTTATAACTACAGCTCTGCTCACCCCCCATGTCCTAGCTTATGCAATTGTC